CAGATATGCATCAAAGGCACCAACGTGTTCAAAGGATACCTGAAGGACCCTGAGAAGACAGAGGAAGCCCTGGACAAGGATGGCTGGCTTCACACAGGAGACATTGGCCGCTGGCTTCCGGTAGGTATTTGTAAAAAATTTCTGGCCGTCTATGCTGCTGTAAACACAACCGTCTACTTATAGATACAAGATGGTTAATTGACTGAGGCAGCTGGAGGGGATTAGGTCTGTATGCTACCTGGCTTATAGCTTCCTCATACTATAAAGAGAATATATATGGTTCAAAGAACTGAGGCTGGTAATTGGGATGTCTATGTTCTAGTCCCAGCTCTTCCATGGATGAGAAATTATTCCCAAAAAAGTCACTTGATGTGTGACTAGGATCTGCCAAAACAAGAGAGGCTTTCTTTCTTGAAGCCAGAGAGATCATTTTGATCACAAGGATCACATTTGATCACAATGTTATAGAATGTTATAGAAGATGCCAAGACAGACCAATTGAAGCATTTTCTTCTTGCTTTTCCTTATAAAATACACCCCCAGCAGTACTCAGAATTGCTGTCAGTTTTCACACCTAAACTGGAGGTGGGAATGTTTAATAAGTCACACAGTCCTGGACTTCAGACTTGGCATGGCTCCCTTGACAGTGAAAGATTTGCTTACAGCCAAAGGAAAATGAGGTGACTTCCTCAGGAAAGGGATGTAGTAGTCTGTCGTGGTTTTGTTTGCTTTTCTTGAGACAGAAATTGTGATTTGATAACTCCATAGGCCCATAACACTTGCCTTTATGAATTCAAAGGGTAAGTCTCTTTACAATTAATATGTAGAAATACATTGAAACAAGGAAGCAGGATTTCTAAACCAAATGTATGCAGGGGCTAGTCTTTTGCCTCAGTGACCTTCACACCTTTCTTTGTGCAAAACACAGAGGCATTTTTTTAAGCAGAGCTTGCTAACAAACAATTAGCAGTAAACTCTCTCAACCCTGTCTGTTTTCCTAAGAGAGAAAAGTATCGATGGTAATGATGGAGACTTAGAATCCCTATAAGAGATTTTCTAAGAGGTCTCATCTCTGAAAAGTTTTGTCTACTGTATGCCAGGGGAGTGGGAATGGAACTAGATCTTTAAAAAAATTCTGCTCAATATTTTCAAGATTTAAATGATATTCAAGGCATGTTTGACAATGAGACCCCTAATTGGTGTGTTTGATAGATTTGGGTCTAGTAGTATCTTGCCAACACATCTGTTTCTGTGTAATAAGTTCTCTGCTCTAATAAGCCTACGATATAGGCAATAAATGTGTCCCCATACTAGACTTATAAAGGACTGAGCATTATTAATCACTTTCAGATCATGTCTGTTAGGCTGAATTGATGACTGATTTCTTGAGTCAGCGTTGTGGGGTTGGTTCAGTCTGTTGCCCTGTTTAGGGTAGGATCATGTGGATTCACTTGCCATTTGTCCCAATTCTTTAATGGGAATCTCTAAGAACATAAGCTCCTCAGACCAATTAGCTCAGAGAAATTAAGCTGCAAATGACCTCTTGTGACTGGTCAGAGAGCCCTCACCAGACCTGCTTCTGTCCTAACAAGCACAATTATTGACTTGTTTGATTAGCGCTAGCACAGTGGAGTCGTCTTAGCCTGCTCCTAATTTAGGGAGGGATACATAAAAGGGAGGAAAAGAGGGGGAGACCTAACTAATTGAAAAGTCTTAATAAAAGATAGTCCTTCCCTATTCTTGAGTTCTGGAAATGGAATCAAAAATTATTAGAAATTCAGAGCTGCAAAATTTCTTCACTGTATGAGGCAACCATTTACATTACCCGAGCAGATCTCAGGGACTTCTTATGCTGCACATTAACATGCCCATATGGTACAGATGTGTTCTTTCTGGAAGCTGTTTCCCTTGCCTTTATTCAAAGCCAAGAAAGAGAAATGAAAAGCTGCTCAAAAGTCTCTAGAAAAGTAAAAAAAAAAAAGTCTCTAGAAAAGTCATGTTTAGAGAAAGAAGACACCTGTGATGTCTCCAGTCTTCCCACTGACACCACAAATAGGGCTCAAAACACTGATGCTGTTATCTGTTTCATATAGAATGGAACTCTGAAGATCATTGACCGTAAAAAGAACATTTTCAAGCTGGCCCAAGGAGAATACATTGCTCCAGAGAAGATAGAAAATATCTACATCAGGAGTAGACCAGTGTCACAAATTTTTGTACATGGGGACAGTTTACAGGTAATATATACTGTTTTAACAACAGTTATTGTCAGGCACAGACCATGCTGTTTCCCGTGGCTACAGGAAATCGGTATGGGTGTGTTTAGGATGAGAAGATCTGAGCTTATGAAACTAAAGAGATGAAGCCATATTCCAAATACAAGGGAATATAAGTGAAAAAATTTTTTTTACTATGATGGACTCTGTAAACAAGTTGAATTGTTTAAACAGTTGTACTAAAGGACAGCCATTCAGAAAGAGTCACATGCTACCATTTCCACTGCAGTAGGAGCTCCTCTGGCACAAGTTTTATATATACTGCATTTACACTCTGCTTTTGGGGAGTGGGAAAGGTTGATGTGGACACGTCAGAGATGCTTCAAGATTAATGTGGAACATCCTTTCTTTTTGAACATTCTAATTTGCACAGATGTTTTTGTAAAGAGATATTGAATGGAAAGATGAGTTTAGAGTCCCATGAGGGTTTGAAACAAAAGGTGAGAAAAGGGGACATTAGTATTGAATTTGAGGTCTTGGGGATTATCTATTACAAAGACGTAATCCTGCCTTCTCTGCCCATGGGGGTCCCCACCATACTCGTTCTCACATGCCCTTGCCATTTGTTCGCTTTCCAGTCCGCCTTGGTGGGAGTGGTGGTTCCTGACACAGATGTGCTGCCCTCATTTGCAGCCAAACTTGGGGTTAAAGGCTCCCTTGAAGAGCTGTGCCAGAATCAGGTAAGTGTCACTTAGAAACACTGTGTACATCCTCTGGGCCCTTTGTGGGAAAGGGGAGGCCCCGCCAGCTCAGGCACCCATGGGTTCCCAGAGCCTCCTTCCAGGGAGAACAGACTCTCCTGCACTTGTGACAGACAGCTGTAGCCCAACAGACTGACTGGCTGTATCAGACTGCAGGGTAGGACAGGGAGTTAACAAAACAAAACTCTATTCTTTCTACAGTGTATGTCCATTGTGGGGAATAAAGGATCAAACAATGCCATCTAGAGAAAATTCCTGTTAACATTTAGATTTGCCTTTTTTCTCATTCATGTTTTCCGTTGAGCAAAGATAGGTGTAAAACGTGCTTGCACATACTCCTATGTCCTGTTTTATCCTAATGAGCTTTCGTAGGCATTTTGCATTGGTTCATGATTAGCCTTTCATTTGGACTTTTTCAAATAGCCATGCTTTAAGCTATGATTTATATTCTCAGATTGTAAAGGAAGCCGTTTTAGAAGACATGCAGAAAACTGGGAAACAAAGTGGCCTTAAATCCTTCGAACAGGTACGTACTACGGATGTGAACCCGGTCTCTCAGGTCATACTAGAGAAGTTTTAAAGCTTACATTCATAATGGGTTTAAATGTAGTCTCCAGGGAATTGATTTTTTATTTTGGACCATTAACGCATTAGCCACAATTGGCAGTGACCTTTTGTACAGTGACCTTTTGTACAGTCCCTTCTTGCTGTTCGTTCTCCCTTCTCCCTGCTCATTTCTTTCCCAAACTGCAAATGAGTGAGCTTGGGAGTGTCCGTTCTCTGCCCTCCCACTTCGTCAACCCCACTTTTATAAGGTGAAATATTCTCTAAGGTTCTTCACATGGCACTTTGAAGGCTCTGCAGAAAATCCAAATCACCAATAAACATGTGTGTGTGTGTTAATCTTCTCTTCCAGGTCAAAGACATCTTTCTTCATTTAGAGCCATTTTCCACTGAAAATGGACTCTTGACACCAACACTGAAAGCAAAGCGGGGCGAGCTTTCCAAGTACTTTCGGACCCAAATCAACACCCTGTACGAGAATATCCAGGAGTAGGTTAAGGTACTTATGGCGGGAAAGGGCTTGGAGGTAGCCTGCCTTACGGGGAATATGGATTAAAAATTGATCTTACATTCATTTTTTTGTCTTCCTCCTGTTGTTTTGCCTGCTAATTTATAAAACCAGAGTTTTGAGGCTTTTAAAAAATATTAAGCGAGAGACTTAGAGTGTAGAAACTTAGCCCTAATCTTCCTTCCTGTCTTAAATGTTGCTGACATTGTTTTTGGGGCTACTTTTATCAACATACCTTTCTTCAAGGTCCACTTGTATTCTTTCTCTTTCTTATGATTTCCAACCTTTCTAAGTGACCACTCATAGCCAAAGTGACCCTTTGTTACTTCTCCCTTTTTGTCTTAAAGTAAACCTAACTTGACACTCCCAACACTCAGGCTTTCCAATGTTCAAATCAAGAGACCTTTAAGTTCTGAAAAGCTGTTATTCCCTTGCCTTTATTCAAAGCCAAGAAAGAGAAATGAAAAGCTGCTCAAAAGTCTCTAGAAAAGTAAAAAAAAAAAAGTCTCTAGAAAAGTCATGTTTAGAGAAAGAAGACACCTGTGATGTCTCCAGTCTTCCCACTGACACCACAAATAGGGCTCAAAACACTGATGCTGTTATCTGTTTCATATAGAATGGAACTCTGAAGATCATTGACCGTAAAAAGAACATTTTCAAGCTGGCCCAAGGAGAATACATTGCTCCAGAGAAGATAGAAAATATCTACATCAGGAGTAGACCAGTGTCACAAATTTTTGTACATGGGGACAGTTTACAGGTAATATATACTGTTTTAACAACAGTTATTGTCAGGCACAGACCATGCTGTTTCCCGTGGCTACAGGAAATCGGTATGGGTGTGTTTAGGATGAGAAGATCTGAGCTTATGAAACTAAAGAGATGAAGCCATATTCCAAATACAAGGGAATATAAGTGAAAAAATTTTTTTTACTATGATGGACTCTGTAAACAAGTTGAATTGTTTAAACAGTTGTACTAAAGGACAGCCATTCAGAAAGAGTCACATGCTACCATTTCCACTGCAGTAGGAGCTCCTCTGGCACAAGTTTTATATATACTGCATTTACAATCTGCTTTTGGGGAGTGGGAAAAGGTTGATGTGGACACGTCAGAGATGCTTCAAGATTAATGTGGAACATCCTTTCTTTTTGAACATTCTAATTTGCACAGATGTTTTTGTAAAGAGATATTGAATGGAAAGATGAGTTTAGAGTCCCATGAGGGTTTGAAACAAAAGGTGAGAAAAGGGGACATTAGTATTGAATTTGAGGTCTTGGGGATTATCTATTACAAAGACGTAATCCTGCCTTCTCTGCCCATGGGGGTCCCCACCATACTCGTTCTCACATGCCCTCGCCATTTGTTCGCTTTCCAGTCCGCCTTGGTGGGAGTGGTGGTTCCTGACACAGATGTGCTGCCCTCATTTGCAGCCAAACTTGGGGTTAAAGGCTCCCTTGAAGAGCTGTGCCAGAATCAGGTAAGTGTCACTTAGAAACACTGTGTACATCCTCTGGGCCCTTTGTGGGAAAGGGGAGGCCCCGCCAGCTCAGGCACCCATGGGTTCCCAGAGCCTCCTTCCAGGGAGAACAGACTCTCCTGCACTTGTGACAGACAGCTGTAGCCCAACAGACTGACTGGCTGTATCAGACTGCAGGGTAGGACAGGGAGTTAACAAAACAAAACTCTATTCTTTCTACAGTGTATGTCCATTGTGGGGAATAAAGGATCAAACAATGCCATCTAGAGAAAATTCCTGTTAACATTTAGATTTGCCTTTTTTCTCATTCATGTTTTCCGTTGAGCAAAGATAGGTGTAAAACGTGCTTGCACATACTCCTATGTCCTGTTTTATCCTAATGAGCTTTCGTAGGCATTTTGCATTGGTTCATGATTAGCCTTTCATTTGGACTTTTTCAAATAGCCATGCTTTAAGCTATGATTTATATTCTCAGATTGTAAAGGAAGCCGTTTTAGAAGACATGCAGAAAACTGGGAAACAAAGTGGCCTTAAATCCTTCGAACAGGTACGTACTACGGATGTGAACCCGGTCTCTCAGGTCATACTAGAGAAGTTTTAAAGCTTACATTCATAATGGGTTTAAATGTAGTCTCCAGGGAATTGATTTTTTATTTTGGACCATTAACGCATTAGCCACAATTGGCAGTGACCTTTTGTACAGTGACCTTTTGTACAGTCCCTTCTTGCTGTTCGTTCTCCCTTCTCCCTGCTCATTTCTTTCCCAAACTGCAAATGAGTGAGCTTGGGAGTGTCCGTTCTCTGCCCTCCCACTTCGTCAACCCCACTTTTATAAGGTGAAATATTCTCTAAGGTTCTTCACATGGCACTTTGAAGGCTCTGCAGAAAATCCAAATCACCAATAAACATGTGTGTGTGTGTTAATCTTCTCTTCCAGGTCAAAGACATCTTTCTTCATTTAGAGCCATTTTCCACTGAAAATGGACTCTTGACACCAACACTGAAAGCAAAGCGGGGCGAGCTTTCCAAGTACTTTCGGACCCAAATCAACACCCTGTACGAGAATATCCAGGAGTAGGTTAAGGTACTTATGGCGGGAAAGGGCTTGGAGGTAGCCTGCCTTACGGGGAATATGGATTAAAAATTGATCTTACATTCATTTTTTTGTCTTCCTCCTGTTGTTTTGCCTGCTAATTTATAAAACCAGAGTTTTGAGGCTTTTAAAAAATATTAAGCGAGAGACTTAGAGTGTAGAAACTTAGCCCTAATCTTCCTTCCTGTCTTAAATGTTGCTGACATTGTTTTTGGGGCTACTTTTATCAACATACCTTTCTTCAAGGTCCACTTGTATTCTTTCTCTTTCTTATTTCCAACCTTTCTAAGTGACCACTCATAGCCAAAGTGACCCTTTGTTACTTCTCCCTTTTTGTCTTAAAGTAAACCTAACTTGACACTCCCAACACTCAGGCTTTCCAATGTTCAAATCAAGAGACCTTTAAGTTCTGAAAAGCTGTTTCTAACTCATGTTTTCTAACTATTCCTAAATGTTTATATCTAGTTTTAACCTATCGGAGTTAATCATATCTGTGAAAGTAATTTCTTCTATGTTATTTCTGTGTACACTGAAGTCTGTGGACAGAAGGGAAAAGTTTGATCACACTGAACATTTCCTAAACTCTCTAGTTTCTCTGACTTGGCAGAATCAAAAACTGGGCCTGTGAAATGTTGCCCAAAAAGAATGTTTTTAAAGTGTTATCTGTAGTAGCACCTGATGGCTAAATCTGTCCTCTAGTTTGCTGCCGAGCTGGAAGCTATGGGGGAAGAAGTTGAAACTTACGTCAAGTGCACTTTTCTGGCAAATGAGGAAAACACTGAGCAAAAACCTCCTAAACTGGGAGCAAGGACCTATGAGCAAGCATGCCACCTACACAACAGGCTTTTCTTCTGTGAAGGACTGGCTATCGTTTCTCCCCTGGACTCCAGTTCCTGCTGTATCTTACCTCCGGACAACACATGTTGCTTCCACTTGTAAATGTAAAGTCTTTAAAATAAACTGTTCCAAGTACTAACATTGTGGTGTGTGTTACCTCACAGACCATTATGAGAAGCAGCATTAGAAAAGGACTACTTAACAATCGAGTAAGCTAGTGGCTCTCAAACCTGGCTGCACCCTAGAATTACCTGGGAAGTTTAAGGAGACACCAATGCCTGGATACTGATTGAAATGGTCTGGGATACTGCCTAAGCGTCAAAATTTTTTATAGGTCCCTAGGTGATTCTAGTATGCAACTGAGATTAATAACTACTTAAGGAAACTAAGCTGAGAAGACCAGGCCTTAATCTCACAGGTGTGAATAATGAAACAAATACCAGTCAAGCCCAAACTTCAATTGAGCGCAATTCCCATTCTCTCTTCTTGGCCATCTTTGTCATAATGTAAGTAGTCTTCAACAGCATTCCTTTCAGCCCTCTAACTGGAATTATCTCTTGGATCATCTTTCTAGACCCTGAGCCTAGGAAAGCTGAAGAAATGTCTATTCTTGAGCATCTGAAACAAAGGAAGGCAGGAATAACTTACAGGATTCCCATGACCTAGTTCCTGTTATCTCCTTGGCCTCCTCTCCCATCCCCCCTCACTCATTCCAACTGAACTGCCCTGGCTGCCTTCCTGTTCCTAAAACATGCCAAGGACCTTCCAGACTGTTGTTCTGGCCATTCCCTCTGCCTAAATGCAGATACTTCCAGAAGCACGTCACTCATCCCCTCATCTGCTTCACAAGTCACTTCCATCAAACCATCCCACCTGCTTTCTTTGTAACTCACGGCTCCATCTGACATATTTTACTTGTCTGTCCACCTCCCCACCCCTCCGTGGAATGGGGCAGAGTCATGTTTCACTCACCGCTGAATCCCCAAGTGCCCTTCCCTTGTTGTTAACTGTTACAGGCCTCACTCCCAAAGCTCAAGTTCCCTGCTGTGGAAAGAATTCATACTGGAATAGGTGATTTGTGTAATTCTACTCATGTGTTTAGACAAGCCTGACTTTTAAGCATCCAAATCCAGCAGCTTAGATCGCACCCCTCGAATAAGCTTCAGGTTTTGATAGGTTCGAGTGCACACGAGCAGTTTGACGTATTACTAGGTTGAAAATCTCCTAGAATGCTGTGATCTCAATGTCTTTAACAGGGTTCCTTTATTGAGGCAATATGTGTATCTTAAGACTCATGATTAAAGATGCCAATTTTTCACAAAGTAATAAAGTGGTTTTTCCATAAGGAATGACGACAAACCTTTTAAGTCAGCAAAAAGATGCTTTATGTGAAAACTGATTTATACAGGTCCACTGATCTTTATTTGATTTGACAAAGTCTGCATTATTAAAAGGTAATAAAATTTGGGATTATACTGAGTCTGACAAGTTAAGTTCTATAGTTTCTAGAATATTACATAAGTATCAAGTGGGGGGAAGCAGGATAAAAGTATCACATGCAGATGCTCCTGGCAAAGGGGGAACATCTGCAAGTGGGGTCCATAGTGTGTGATGCATAAAAAAATCCTAGAGACAATGCAATTGACTTACTTAGGTGAAGTGTTCTTCCTTCTGGGAAAGAGGAAGAGGTGGCAAAGAGTGGCAGGAATTCAAAGGCATATGCAGAATGGCTTCTCCATTTTAAAATGGTAATAAAAATATTTAGATCATGGCACTAGGGCACCTTTGGGGAATAGAACACCTTAATCAGAGTAGGTTCATTGCATAATTCTTTAGTACAATGTACAGTTTTCAAGTAATGAGTGGACTTAAAGTGTGATTTTACTTTGACAGTGGCTATCTATTTTTCTTCTCGCCTTCTGGGGCTTGATTTGTTTCAGCATCACAGGGACACTTTTCCACACAGTTTCTAGGGAACCATCCTCTTATTCTTGACATGCCTGAGGGAGAAATTGGTAAGAAATAGTCAGATATGCTGCAATGACATTAATGAGACCATTAACTCCTATTTCTCCAAATTAATAAGCATTTAGTTAGATTTTACTTTTTCCCCCTTTTGCCATTTTTGATAAGCAGTTTGAAGGGGAAAATTATGGCTTTTAAATACTCTTTTAACAAGCTTGAAAACAGGGATTTCCCAAATTCCATTATCTGGGTAAGGAGCAATGTGGTTCCGGAGAGCCCCTAAGTGGAGTCAGAGGGAACATCTCCATACTGGTATTTACTTATACGTGTGTGATCGTGAAGGGTGTTTCTGGCACACTGTCATAGTTTGTCTGTTCCAGGCAACTATCTCCCTGAAGCCTTTGTGAATTTCCTCTTTAGACTTTTTCCAACAGGCAGACTTCTCTATCAAACTCGCCTAAGCTGTCCTATGGGGTTAATTTATGATTAACCTAGTGTTTTTAAAAGAGCATCCTAGGTTAATCACTGCTTTAAAAAGGAACAATTTTAAAACTTAAAAAAATCAAGGACACAAAGTTTCAATCCATTGGTTTCTATGTGAACTTACTAGGAATGCCCATTCAAAGCAGCATATAACACGGGCGTAGTGCTCTGGCTCTGGGCCCAGACTGCCTGGGCTGGAGCCCTGGCTCTACTTGTGTCTGCTGCAGCTTTCAGCAAGGTGCTGAGCCTCTGCATGTCAGTTCCCTCGCCAGTACAATGTGAATGACAGCACCTACCTCTGCAAGGTGGGATGTTGGGGACTTTAACATCACAAGTGAAGCACTTATACAAGTGCCTGTCACATAGGTAAGTATGAACTCCAATGTTAGCTATCATTTAAAAGTCCTGATACAAGTGCGGTGGAGAAATAATATAAGGGGCTTCTCTTTGTTGTTTCATGATGTTTCTTTCTATTTAGTTCCTCTAATACATGTGACATATGATTGTTTATAAAAGTGCTTCTAGTAAAATTTGGAATCATTGCTAGGAGTCTTGTTCTTTAAACATCTCTTCCATTTTCATACCTTCTACATAGGAATCATCATGAATTTTGTCTCCATACAACCAATATCTGAAATATTTAAAAAATTAAAATTAATTTTTTTTAGGCTAGGTGCCAATTTTGTCATTAAAGAATAAAGTCAGTACTTTCTATCACTCACCGTAACCCTCTTGTGGCTAAAATGAATTCCCCTTTTTGTAGCCTTATTCGAGGCTCTTCAGTGCAGGGACTCGTGAAGAAGGTTTTGATTCCTTTATTCAAAGGACAGCAGGCACCACTGTAATCTTCTATCACTTTATACCGAACCTGGCATCAGCGATCAGAAGAACAGTTTAACATTTACCCACATTCTGAAGATAAATTTATTTTAAATTACTAAAGGTAGACCCAAAGCATCATGAGACAAGCCTTTCCCTCCCAGTTCCCACATAATAGGCAATCGATATTTCTAGTTCTCAAGCCTTTGATTAATCTTCATTTCAAACATATAGCTGATAATTAAATTCTAGAGCAGTGCTATCCGGAAGAACTTTCTGCAATGACGGAGATGTTCTATAGCCTCTACACACATGTAGTTACTGAGAACTTCTAATATGGCTAATGCAAGCAAGGAGCTGAATTTTTACTTAATTTAACACAATTTACATTTAAATAGCCACTTGTGGCTAGTGGCAATCATGCTGTACAACATAATTGTAAGGATGGACCTCATTCTGATGAGCTGTATTGAGAATAATTATTCTTCTGTTGGCAATATAAATAAAGAATTCCCTCCAAACCTCTAGTCCAAACATGTAAATGAAAAAAGCAAACTACATCAAATTTCAACAAATGTATTAAGAAATATAACCTAACAAAAGCCAAGAGTTGGCTTCTACTCAAAGCAATTTTAACAACTATATAGAAGTGCACAGACTGACAGAAGGAAAAAGAAAGTAGTATCATTGCAAAAGAATTACTTACACTTCTGACTCTTTTATCTGCTTTTTGTTTCAACTGTTCTATCTGTTTGGAAGATAGAAAGGAAAAGAAGCTCAGCTCAATGTTGAAATACTTTTGCCTCATAAACTACATCAATGACATAACAAACTTGTCATTTTCCAACATTTCGAACTACTAGCAATTTAAAGGCCACATGATTTTTAGCATGGAAAGAAGACCCTGTAACTAAGACCAGGGGCTGAAGCGGGACTTTCTTCTCCATGTTTTCTAATGTGTTTATCTGTGTATTCTCCCAGAACACTCCTGGTGACCCGGGGGTCAGGGAGGTGTGCTCTCCACCCTCACGGGGCTTCCAGGCTAGCTCCTAAGGTGAAGATGACACAGATGCTCTGATTCTTTAGAGACAAGGTAGAGAAACTGCAAAATTCATTAACAAAGAGTCTCAACTACAAGTCATCAGGACTTACTCTTTTCCACTTATTTGGCAACAATTTATTAGTTGGTACTATACTAGATATAGTAGGGGAAATAAAGATAACACATGGTCTCTGTTCTAGACTCTTGTTGAGTTAAAGATGCAAGACTTTTTAAAAAATATGAGACCTCATGTGCTACCAGCAGTAGTATATGATTAAGTGCCAAATCCAGAGAAGTCTAGAGTGGGCAGGTTAGACTTTATGCAAGAACTGGGCTGGAACTGGTCTTAATAATTACCAATAGAGAAGAGGTCAAATGAGACAGAAAACACAGTGTGGGCAAAGTTAGGAGGCAGGAATGTACAAGGAGTTCACTGAGGAGACTAGGCTGATTGGAAAGGATGATTCCTGTTAGGAACAGATGGAAGTTCATTTTAGGCCAGATTTCATAAAAACTAAGTTAAGGAATCAGGACTTTTTATCTCTTATGTGTGGAGAGCTAAGGAGAGGTTTAAATAAAAGGGGAAGCATAAAATAAGGAGTGATTTAGGATTATCAACTTAGATTCATTTTGCCACACTGAAAAAAACATTATTACTTATTTTGAGATACAGTATCATCTGAGTTAAGGGGAAGAGGTGAGGCAAAAAGGAATGACTGAACAAAATACTCACAGTTAAGCTGTAGTGGTGACAGCCTTCTCTTATGGGCCAATCCAGTCCATCTCCTTCAGGGACCCCTGACCATGTAAATACCTGTCTAAAGTTCTTC